CTCCTGGAACACCCCCCCACCACCACCACAGATACTTCCAGAAATACTCCTTCATCAGCCATCTGGGCTTCCCTTGGCCTGGTCAAGTTGACATGTAAAATAAACCATCACAAAAACGTTGCATGTTTGGGATGGTGAGGAGGTGACATCGACAATGAGACCTGAATGTTGAGGAGGAGCCAGCTGTGGGGAAAACTAGGGGAAGGATGCCCCAGGCAGGAGCATGCAAAGGTCCTGAGGTATGATCAAGTTTGGCAGGACAAGATGCAGCTGGAGAGGTGCACTGGGGCAAGACCAAGTGAGCTGGTTGGCAGTGTGGAGTTTACTAGATCAAGAAGCCATCAGAGAGCTTGAATCAGAGAATGAGTTTCAGTTCCTAACAGGCCATGGATCAGTACCATGTTCCAGGGATCTTGGGCAAGTACAGCCACCCTGTGGTCATTACAAGGTTACAGATTGGTAGCCGATGCAGCCCCTGAGGCAAGGACTGTGTCTTATTCGTCTCTAACCTCTCAGGCCTTATGCAATTTTTGCCCCATGGATTATGTTCTGAAGAGGCTCTTTGATTTATTCAGCAACCTCACACACCCAAACATTGCCAGGAACTCAGGAGAAAGCCAGAGGGCTCTCTGGGCAGCCCAAATAGAAGATCCAAGTCTGTGGATGGAAGTTCAGTACTCTTTTCATTGATCAGTTCTCAGGCTTTGTTTTTGCATTTTATGTACAAGACAATTGCATGTGCTTAACTGGCATCCCAGCCTTCAGCAAATTAGCAGTTGGGTGGAGGAGCAGACACAGCTTAGGCAGGGCTGCAGCCAATACAGAAGGCACCCTTTGAGCAGACAAACTACAGCAAGTTCCTCTTCGGATGAATTGCAAAACTGCACCCTCCCTGCCCTGGTAAATTACAAAACAGTCAGCAGAGCAGTGGGCTGGACTGCAGCTTCTATTCACCTACTATGTGCAGGGAACAGTCAAGCATTGCTAAAATGAGGAATCATACATGAGAAGTGAAACAGGAACAGCCACTCGGTACAGGATGGGGCTGCCCTCACCTACTGATAGCTCTGTTTTGTGGCACGGTACATACAATCAGCTTCCATCAAGATTAATTGAGAAAACAGCCGGGTGCAGTGGCTCACACCTGTAATCCTAGCACTTTAAGAGGCTGACGCGAGTGGATCACCTGAGGTCAAGAGTTTGAGACCAGCCTGGCTAACATGGTGAAACCCTGTCTCTATGAAAAATACAAAAATTAGCCTGGTGTGGTGGTGGGTACCTGTAATCCCAGCTACTCAGGAGGCTACGGCAGGAGAATTGCTTGAACCTGGGAGATGGAGGTTGCAGTGAGCCGAGATTGTGCCATTACACTCCAGACTGGGCAGCAAGAGCAAAACTCCATCTCGAAAAATAAAATAAAATAAGATTAATTGAGAAAACATGCAGACACATGGTTTGGTGCTGGAAATGGCAAGCTTTATTTCCTAAAAAATTTGTCTCATTCCTGAAGCAAAGACACATGAGATGTTGATGCATTTTGAGAATGAGCTGCTTCCGTTTCCATTTCCTGCCTACGTGCAAGCTTGTCCCCTGAGGGCTTTCCCCCCAACACTGGTGTGGTCAGCAGCCCCCAAAGGACAGCAAATAGACCACAAAGGTCCCTGTGGGAGGAGCGAGGGAGCAGCACCTGCACAAATATGTAGAAATGCTGAATAAACATTTAGAGTGAATGCGTGAGTGAATGAAGGAATGAACAAATGAATAGGGACCCTGACAGTTATTGGTCAAGTTTCTTAGAATTTTACTTTCCATTAAAAATCAGCCCAGAAACACTCTCCGTTTGCCACAAAAACTCCTGGGATCTACGCTTTTCTTTTAGTCTTTATGTGTAAGATTTCTTTTCTTTCAAGGCTGCCCCATGTTCAAGAGATGATGGTGGCTTGGACCTGATGGGGTGGTTCAAATGGAGGTTAGAATGATCACTCTCCACATCTACACAGGTCATAGAGGAGAATTGGGAACCCTAGCCTCCTGCATCCCATCTGGAAGGCTCTTCTTGGCTTCCCTCCACCACTAGATTTGGGGTCAGAACCCGAATCTGCCCCATGCCCACCTGCCTGTCCACCACATGCCGTGGCTCTGCTCACACTGTCTTGCCATTTTCAGCTCCTCCCCCTTAGACTGGAAATGCCTCAGACTCAGCCAGAGTCTCATTTTCATAAAATAAAATTTCAGGAAGTTCGAGTTTGTGTGTTTGAAATTTCATCATTCATTCCGATTTTGATGCCTATTTTTATTCATAATAACATGCCAGGGAGCATTTTTAGGCAGAACGGCATGGATGGTTGACATGTTCTTCACTGAACGGGGGTTTTGGGTACCTGATCTCCATGCCCAGCCCTTTATCTACAGGGTGTTATTCAATAGTCTGACATTCTACCCGGTGCTTCTGGGTGCATGATCTCACAAGGAGGTGGCTAAGGCTCAGAGAGGCCAGAAATGGGCCACACAGGCCAATGGTGGGAGAGCCAGACTCAAACCCAATTATTCCGAGTCCAGTCAGTCATGCCCACCCCACAGGATGGATCAGCCTCTTAGCGCAGCAGTTTCTGGAGCCCAGGAAGAGGTGAATGGGGTGATTAATAGTTTGTTGTTTTTTTTTTAAGTTAAACCCACAGCACAATGTTTTTAAATTGACTGGTAGGCTCTCAGATGCTCATGTCATTATTACGTTTCTGAACATAATATGTTAGCTTTTTCGTTTTGTGTGTGCCATCTGTTATGCCGTAAAACATAAAGTCAATTGTACTTAATATTAAGACATCAGAAAATGTAGAAATGTATTAAAAGAAAAATTACCTGTGACCCCACTGTTTATGGGTAAATAGTAACACTTTTTTTGTAGTTTAGTCTGTATCATTAAAAGGTAAGAGACTGACACACACACACACACATAAGTACAGGTAAAACTGGGAAAATCTGAATAAAATGTATTGACATCAATATCCTAGGGTTTTTTGTTTTTGTTTTTGAGACGGAGTTTCACTCTTCTTGCCCAGGCTGAAGTGCAGTGGTGTGATCTCAGCTCACTGCAACCTCCGTCTCCTGGATTCAAGAGATTCTCTTGCCTCAAGCGTCCCAAGTAGCTGGGATTACAAGCACCTGCCACCAAGCCTGGCTAATTTTTGTATTTTTAGTAGAGAATTGGTTTTACCATGTTAGCCAGGCTGGTCTTGAACTCCTGACCTCAGGTGATTTACCTACCTCAGCCTCCCCAAGTGCTGGGATTACAGGCATGAGCCACTTCGCCCATCAATATCTTGGTTTTGATACAGTAACATTGTTTTGCAAGATGTTATCACTGGGGGGAAACTGGGTAAAGGGCACCTGAGAACTCCCTGTGTTATTTCTTGCCACTGCATGGGAATTTACAGTTATCTCAAAATTAGAAGTTTGACTTAAAAAAGAGATAAAGACTCCTTTTTTCAAACATAACTAACATACTGTTTATTGTCTGCTCCCAAAATTTTTGTAGTGTTCAGATATCTAATTGCCTCTAATGTAACAGAGGCAATTAGAATTTTTTGCTATGATTTGAGCTGGGATCCAAGCAAGGTTGACATATTGCAATTGGTTGATAATGTTTCTTAAGGTCCCTTTAAGCTAGAGGTTGCCACTCCCCTCCACTAACTTCCCCGTCTCCCTTTACCACCACTGCCTCTATCTTCCTTCTGCTTCACTCTTTTTTTTTTGAGATGAATTTTCATTCTTGTTGCCCAGGCTGGAATGCAGTGGCAGGATCTCGGCTCACCGAAACCTCCACCTCCCGGGTTCGAGCAATTCTCCTGCCTCAGCCTCCCGAGTAGCTGGGATTACAGGCATGCACCAGCGTGCCAGACTAATTTTGTGTTTTTAGTAGAGACAGGGTTTCTCCATGTTGGTCAGGCTGGTCTCAAACTTTTGACCTCAGGTGATCCACCTGCCTCAGCTTCCCAATGTGCCAGGATAACAGGAGTGAGCCACCATGCCCAGCCTCGGCTTCACTCCTTAACATCTCAGAATCTGCATCTTGAAGATAGCAACCTACTCATGCACCTCAACACATTCTGGATTTCTAATAAGTTGGTTATTGGATTAGAGGCTTTTAGAATATATAAAACACACACAGGGAAAAAAATTAAATGGTGAAACAAGAGTGGATACTGCAAAGCCAGTCACCTTCCCACTCCTGTGCCTCAGGTGTCTTTCCAGAGGCAGCTGTTGTCTTGGGTGTAAATGATCTGATTTAATAACGCTGAGGGCACCATAGAACATACTAAAGCAGTCTTTCAATTTTGGAAAGCCATTGCCCTCCCGCCTTTTTTAAGGGAATAAATTCTACAATTAGCACAACCTATGCAAGTATATAAGCAGGTAGTAGTGCCAGTTACAAATTAAGGTGTGGGCTGTTCCTTGAACACTTTACTTTTTTATGTTTTAATTACATATAGGAAGACCGGGAGCAGTGGCTCACGCCTGTAATCCCAGCATTTTGGGAGGCTGAGGCAGGTGGATTACCTGAGGTCAGGAGTTCAAAACCAGCTGGGCAACATGGTGAAACGCTGTCTCTACTAAAAATACAAAAATTAGCTGGGCATGGTGGGGGGCACCTGTAATCCCAGCTACTCGGGAGGCTGAGGCAGGAGAATCACTTGAACCTGGGAGGCAGAGGTTGCAGTGAACAGACATCATGCCATTGCACTCAAGCCTGAGCAACAGAGAAAAAACTCCATCTTCAAATAATGATGATGATATAATTTGCATACAGAAAATGAACTATGTTTGGCTTTATAGTTCTGAGTTTTAACACGTGCAGATTTATGTGACCATCACCACAATCAGGACCCAGAGCTGTTTCATCACCCCAAAAAGTTCCTCTGTAGTCAACCCCTCTCCCTACCCTGCCCTCTCATAACACTGACCTATTTTCTGATCCTGTATTTTTTTTTTTTCTTTTCTAGAATGCCATATAAATGGAAGCATACAGCACACAGGCTTTAGAGCCTGGCTGCCTTTACTCAGCATAAAGTCTCTGGGATTCACGCATGTTGCTGCACGTAGTCTCTTTTAAATGTGGAGTATTCCGCTGTGTGGGTGTATCACAGTTTGCTCAACCACGCAACCACTGAAGGCATTTGGGTTGTTTCCAGTTTGGGGCAATTCTGAATAGAGCTGCTATACACATCCACTAGCAGGTGTTTGTGTGAACGTAAGTTCTTATTCTTCTAGAGGAAATAGCTAGGCGTGGGATTACAGGATTATACTGTAAGTGATGCGTAACTTTATGAAAACAAACTGTTTTCTGGGATAGCTGTGCCATTTTGCATTCTCACCAATAACATATGAGAATTCCAGTTCCTCCATGTGCTCTGCAGCACTTCCTATTGCCCATTTTAAAATCTTAGTCATTCTAATAGGCATATAGTGAGATCTCATGGTTTCCATCTGCCTTTCTAAAACTGCTGATAGCATTGAGCATTTTTTCATGAGCTTATTTGCCACCCACATATCTTTTTTAGTAAAGTATTTATTTAGATCTTTTGCCCATTTGGGGAGTATTATTTGCTTTCTTACTGTTGAGTTTTGAGGGTTGTTTATTTATCCTAGATATGTTGTCAGATGTGATTTGCAAATATTTTTTTCTAAGTCTGTACTTTGTTTTTATTTTATTTTATTTTTCTTATTTTTTCTTTTTTGAGATGGAGTTTTGCTCTGTCACCTAGGCTGGAATGCAGTGGCACAATCTCGGCTCACTGCAACCTCTGCTGCCTGGGTTCAAGTAATTCTCCTGGTTCAGCCTCCTAAGTAGCTGGGATTACAGGCATGTGCCACCACACCTAGTGAATTTTTGTATTTTTATTACAGATGGGGTTTCACTATATTGGCCAGGTCTCGAACTCCTTCCTGATCTCAGGTGATCCACCCACCTTGGCTTCCCAAAATGCTGGGATTACAGGTGTGAGCCACTGCACCTGGCCTGTTTGTTCATTTTGTTAAAGGCATCTGTCATAAAACCAAAGTTTTACATTTTGATGAAGTCTAATTTGTCATTTTTTTCCTCTTATGGATCATGCTTTGGTGTTATATCTAATAACTTTTTCCTTAACATAAGGTTGGAAGGGTTTTCTCCTGTGCTTTCTTCTAAAAGTTTATTGTTTTGCATTTTACATTCAAATCTATGTCCATTTTTAGTCCATTTCTGTGTAAGGTGTGGGGTTTACCTCAAGGTTTTGCTTCTTGTTTTGCATACTGATGATCAACTGTTCCATCACTATGTGTTGAAAAGACTCCTTTCTCTGTTGACTCACTTTTACAACTTTGTCAAAAATCAATTAGCCGTATCAGTGTGGGCCTACTTCCAAACTCTGTTCTGTTCCATTGATTTATGTCTCTAGCCCTTCACTAATAACTTCAGAGTAATTCTCAAAATAAGGAGCGTGAGTCCCCAGGCATTATTCAGGCATTATTCATTTTAAAAATTGTTTGGCTATTTCGATTCCTCTACCTTTCCCTACAAACTTTAGAATTGACTTGTATGTACCTACAAAAAAAAAAAAATCCTGCTGGTACTTTTATTGGAATTACCTTAAATATATAAATCACTTTGGAGAGAACTGACATTTTAACTACACTGGGTCTTCCAAACAATGAACACAGTTTCTGTCCATTTATTTAGATCTTCTCTGATTTACCTAATCAGCATTTTGTATTTTTCATCATACAGATCCTGTGTGTTTTGCTAAATTTATCTTTAAGTGTTTAAGAAAATATTTAGAGCTATTGTAATTGGTATTATATCTTCTGAATTCAGCAAATATAGATGTACACAATTTTATAACTGCATAGTATTTTATTGCACAAATTAATTTATTTACTTGGTACTCTATAATTGTACCTTATGTTTTTTCTGGTTTTTCTGTTTTTGTTTGTTTGTTTGTTTGTTTTTTGAGACGGAATCTCACTCTGTCACCCAGGCTGGAGTGCAGTGACACGATCTTGGCTCACTGCAACTTCCACCTCCAAGTGATTCTCCTGCCTCAGCCTCCAGAGTAGCTGGGATTATAGGCACCCATCACCAGGCCTAGCTAATTTTTGTATTTTTAGAAGAGACAGGGTTTTACCATATTGGTGAGGCTGGTCTCGAACTTCTGACCTCAGGTGATCTGCCTGCCTCAGCCTCCAAAAGTGCTGGGATTACAGGTGTCAGCCACCGCACCTGGCCTTCTCTACCTTCTCTATTGTTAACAATGTTTTAATGAATATTGTTGCACATATCTTTTATCCATTTGTCCAATATTTCCTTCAGATAGGTTTCTACAGGTAGAATTGCTTGGACAAACAAGTATGAACACTTTGAATTTTGATACTTATTGTCCAGCAATCCCTGAGAAAAGCTACACTAATTTCTCTTCTCACCAACTATGTATGACTGGAAATTTTCTCATATCCTATCCTTGCCAATACTGAATGTCATTATCTTTTGGCATACTCTTTGCCACTCTCATTTTAATATGTATTTCTATGATTATCAGTAGGCTGAAATTGTAATACATTAGAATTATAATACATTGCTGAATTCAATTGATATCCAATTTTTTTTTTTTTTTGAGATGAAGTCTCACTCTGTTACCCAGGCTGGAGTGCAGTGGCGTGATCTCAACTCACTGCAACCTCTGCCTCCCGGGTTCAAGCGATTCTCCTGCCTCAGCCTCCCAAAGTGCTGGGATTACAGGTATGAGCCACCACGCCCAGCCAGTTGATAACTATTTTTCAATGTTATATCAATATTTATAGGTGAGCATGGTCTATTTTGCTATTTTGGTAAAACATAGATAATATAACATCTTAACCATTTTTAAGTATATAATTCAGTGGCATAAGTACATTCACAATGCTGTGTAACCATTACCGCTATCCATTTCCAGAACTTTCCTATCATTCTAAACAGAGACCCATTAAACAATAATTCTCCTTTCATCCCTTCCCCAGTCCCTGGTAACTTCTGTCATACTTGCTGTCTCTGTCTCTGTGAATTTGCCTATTCTAGGTATCTCACATAAGTGGTATCACACAATATTTGTCCTTTTATGACTGACTTATTTCATACAACATAATGTTTTCAAGGTTCATCCAGGATGTAGCATATCTCTAAATGTGTTCCTTTTTAAAGCTGAATAACTTTCCACTATACGTATACAACATATTTTTTTATCCATTCATTGCTTCTCTGCTGATGGACATTTGAGTTGCTTCTACCATTTTGCTGTTTTGAATAATGCTTCTATTAATACTGGTGTGCAAATGTCTGTTTGAGTTCCTGTTTTCAACTCTTTTGGGTAGTTACCTAGAAGTGAAATTGCTAGATCATGTGATAATTCTTTGCTTGACTTTTTGAGGAACATGCCATGCCATTTTCCACAGCAGTGACGCCATTTTGAATTCCCACCCAGCAATGCACCACATCCTCCCAGAGTCTGCACCCCAGAGCAAGAAACCCAATGACTCGAAAGCAGGAGAACTCCAAACAAATCTAATTTCTCCACATCCTTGCTCGTGCTTGTTGTTTTCTGGCTTTATTTTCCCCCGACATATATAAAATGTTCATTCCAGTGGGTGTGAAGTCTGTGATCTATTTTTTTTAACTACCTTTATTAGATCTTGGTATTAAGGTTAAGCTGGCTTTGTCCAATAAACTGAGAATCTTTCTTTCTTTTTCCATGTTTTGGAGCAGATTAAATAACAGAGACATTTTCTTTGTAGGTTTGAGAAAACCTATCAGAAGAACCATCTGAGCCAGACATCACTTTCTCAGAGCTAGTTCTTTGACAACTGCCTTTATTTCCTCACCGGTTACTAACATAAGCAGTTTTTCTAACTCCTAGAACCTTTTGAGTCATTTTTCTTTTCCTAGAAAACCATGTGTGACACAGGAGACTCAGGTTTTCTTTTCTTCTGTAAATAAATATATATGACATTTATCATTTCTAATATTGTCTCTTTGTCATCTCTTTTTAGATTAGCTTTCCCAATTATATGTTTGTTTGTTTGCTTGCTTGCTCTCCAAAAAACAAGCTCTTGGATTTGTTTGGAGTTTCTCTGCTTTCTAGTCATTGGGTTTATTGCTCTGGGGAGCAGACTCTGGGAGGAGCTTCCACTGGGGTCACAGTGGGGCAGCCAGAGGTCATGCTTAAGGGCAGGGCTGTAGAGCCAAATGGTCTGAGGTCAAGTCCTCATTCCTTACTTACCAGCTATTTGACTTTGAATAGTTATTTAACCTCTCTGTGTTTCAGTATCCCCATCTGTAGAACTGGGGAGGAGTGAGAGAGAGAACCTGCCTCATAAGCTTAATATTAATATTAAAAAGTTGGTATTTCCTAAGCACTTAGAAAAGTGATGCCTGGCACATAGTAAGCATTATATAAGTTTCATTTTGTTTCCCTCTCTCCCTCCCTCCTTTTCCTCCCTCCCTCCCTCCCCCTTTCTTTCTTTCTTTCTTTCTTTCCTTTCTTTCTTTCTTTTCTCTCTCTCTCTCTCTCTCTCTCTCTCTCTCTCTATCTCTCTCTCTCCCCTTTCTTTCTTCTTTTTATAATGGAGTCTTGCTCTTTTGCCCAGGCTGGAGTGCAATGGTGTGATCTCAGCTCACTGCAACCTCTGCCTTTCAGATTCAGGCAATTCTCCTGCCTCAGCCTCCCAAGTAGCTGGAATTACAGGCACCCACCACCATACCCAGCTAATTTTTTGTATTTTCAGTTGAGACGGGGCTGGTCTTGAACTCCCAACTTCAATGATCCACCCTCCTCAGCCTCCCAAAGTGCTGGGATTACAGACATGAGCCATTGCACCTGGCTATAAGTTTTCTTAAATACATGTAGACTTCTCTCCAGTGTGCTAGAAGCCTAGGTCCCCTAGGGGCTTCTCCACTGCTTTCTGCACCTTCCCACTGCTTTCACTAATTAACTGCCTCTTATTTTGCAGAACCACCTCTGTGCAGAAAAACAACCAATTTGTTTTCCATTCTGCTGCCTGAGACAACCACATCCTCTTCCCACACCTGACAGGCTACCATGGAAAGCTCAGGTCAGTATGTTGGGGGAAAGGGGTCTAGCGAGCCTGCTACCTATTGGGGAAGGCTTTTCTCATCAGTGAGGACACCTCCAGAGCTGGCAGGACACCCTACACGTAGACACGCTGCAAGACCCCAACTCAGATTCTGTCTAAATGTGAGATCATCTTGAGAGTTGGACATCTACACACTTGTATGAGGCCCCAGCTGCTTGCTGGACACTGAGCTTGATGATGGGAATGATGATAAGGATAGCCAAGATTTATTGTCAAATACTTGTGACTATTTAACAAAAGCCTATATAGCACTTACAATGGATTGAGGAGGGATAAAAGCTCTTGACAAATATTAACTCATTTAGTCTTTGTTAATCTCCTATGATAGGTATTATTACTCTCATTTTACAGAAGGGGTTTCCCTTCCGAGGCATGCCAAGGGCAGGTACTTTTGCCCCAGTCACATAGCTACTGAGTGGTCAAATCAGGAGTGAAACCCAGCAATCTAGCTCCTACGTCTGGGCTTAATGATTTCATGACAGATTGCCTCACACAAATGCCAGAAGGATTCTGTGAGGTAGGGCCAGCACTATGATTAGCCTCGTTTTTCTGAAAGGGAAACTGAGGCTCAACGAGGTTATATAATTTGCTCAAAGCCACACAGGTAGTAAGTGGCGAGGCCAGAACTGGAGCCTAGTCCGTCTGATTCCAAAGCCTGGACTCTTCACCCTATGTCAACTTGGGACAACAGGGAAAGATGACCAGCCCCCACCAAGATGTGCATCATCTAATGGTCACCGGGAAAGCCAAAGATCACACCTTAGACCACCAAGCAGAGACACCAATTCCCCTAAAGATCCCTGCCCTGGGGAGGGGAAGGGCAACCACTAGGGAGGGTCAGCATCTCAGTTGTTAATATTCCTGTGACATAAATTCTTTTGACATCCATCCATCCATCCATCCTCAGACAGCCTCACCCAATCAGAAGCAGCTCCACGAAGTCAGGCAACCCCAGTGAATCCTGGTGTTACAATATTCTGGGAGATCTTTAACCAGCTGGGGTTTGGGGTGAGAGGCTTGGGATGGGGAAGCACCATGAAAATTGAAATACAGTCAGGCACTGCATAATGCCAATGTTTTGGTCAACGACAAACCTTACAAACAGCAGAGGTCCCATAGGAGAGCACCATATTTTTACTGTAGCTTTTCTATGTTTAGATATATTTAGACACACAAGTACTACTATGTTACGACTGCCTACAGTACTTAGTGCAGTAACATGCTGTGTTGGTTTGTAGCCTAGGTGTGTAGTAGGCTATGCTATCTAGGTTTCTGTAAGTGCGCTCTATGGTGGTCATACAATGATGAAATTGCCGCAAGACATATTTCTCAGGACATATCCTCGTAGTTAATTGACACATGAAGGTATTTTGAAACCAACTTACTTTGCACTAATTTTATAACAGTAATACGTGCCAATGCTGTCTTTTAGGAAAAGAGGTGTATTGTATATAAGCAATAAAAACTGATGTGGCCATTTTAATTTTTAAAAAATGTGGCCAAGCATCAAAGGAAAAGCTGAAGCACCAGATGCCAGAAAGGGCAGGGGATGGCAGCCTTGCCACCAGGACAGAGAAAGATAGACAATGTCCTTGAAGGGCACACCAGGTGTCCTTCCCTCCTGGGCATTCTCTGCACAAGGCTGTCTGAGAGAAACAGAGACAGAGAATGTCAGTCCATGGACAACTTGGTCCTGTGCCCACACCAAGGCTAAAGCTAAGTAGGGCACCTGGGTTACAGTCCCGCCAAGACTGCAATGAGCTGGGAGGGACACTGGGCAGGTGAAACCACTGACTTCCCCCTCCAAAGGTACGGCAGATGACTCCCAAATCCAATGAGTAAAAGGAAACATCCCCAAATTAGAATGATTGCTCTGGCAACTCAGAAGGGGAGTTCTCCCATCATTACCAGATGTCTTCTCACATTATGATTTTTTTTTTTTTTTTTGAGATAGAGTTTTCACTCTTGTTGCCCAGGCAATGGCACAATCTCGGCTCACTGCAACCTCCACCTCCCAGGTTCAAGTGATTCTCCTGTATCAGCCTCCCGAGTAGCAGGGGTTACAGGCACTAACCACCAGGCCTGGCTAATTTTTTGTATTTTTAGTAGAGGCGGGGTTTCACTATGTTGGCCAGGCTGGTCTCGAACTCCTGACCTCGTGATGCACCCGCCTCAGCTCCCAAAGTGCTGGGCTTATGATTGTTTTTAACACTCCCTACCTTCCCACAGCTCTTGGCATTCTCCCATCCTACAGTTAAGAAGAGAGGTACCTGAGAAGTAAAATATTTATTTTGGGGTATACAGGGGCACCAAGGCTATTGTTATTTTGCCATGCCTGCAAACAGGGGTAAGACTGCAAAGGTTTTCCAACAATCTGAGCCTTTATACAGGATAGGGGTAAGGAGAATCAGGTGTAGGTTGGAAAAGGTGCATCTGTGTACTGGGGGCCCTCTAGGCGTAACTTTCTATGGTTGGAGAGGCAATATGTGACAAAGGTAAGGGCTCTAGGCCTGGAATCTATCAAAGAGGAAGAACAGTATTTGTCCTGCCAAACTCACAGGGTGCTTGTCAGAATCAAGTGAGATAAGACATTGGAAAACACTTTGCATATCCATGAGTCAGCCAGAGAATAGTAGCTGCTTTAACAAACAGGCCCAAATGTCAGAGGATTAACACAACACATGCTTATTCTCCCTCTCCCCACAGTCCATTGTGGGCTTCAAGCAGGCACTGAGACTTATTCCCTCCTGTGGCACCATCACCTTCAACATGTGTCCCTCAAGGTCGCTGTGGAATATGAAGAGGAGTATGGAGGACAGTGCAGGGAACACAGGCCTGCAAGTGACTTACATCACTTCCACCACATTCCATTGGCCAGAATGTAGTCACGCAGCTTTTCTCTAACTGCAGGGGAGTTTGGGAAATGTAGTCTTACTGTCTCTAGGTGACAAAAATGAACTTGGTTTGGTAAGCACATAGCATCACCTTGCCACATTTGTGGAAGACTCTGTGTGTACACTTTTCAAGTGCTGTTTAAATGTTAGGTATTCAAGGAGGTGAAAGATCTTCACAAGAAGAGCTACAAAACACTGCTAAAAAGAAATTATAGATGACATGAACAAATGGAAAACCATTCCAATGCTCATGAAATGGAAGAATCAATATTGTTAAAATGTCCATACTGCCCAAAGCAATCTACAGATTCAGTGCTATTTCTTATCAAACTACCAATATCATTTTTCATAGAAGTAGAAAAAAACTATTCTAAAATTCATATGAAACCAAAAAAGGGTCTGAATAGCCAAAGCAATCCTAAGTAAAAAGAACCAAGCTGGAGGCATCACATTACCTAACTTCAAACTATACTATAAGGCCACAGTAACCAAAACAGCATGGTACGAGTATAAAAGTAGGCATATAAACAATGGAACAGAATAGAGAACTCAGAAATAAAGGTACATACCTGCAGCCATCTGATCTTTAAAAAAGTTGGCAAAAATAAGCAATGGGGAAAGGACCCTTTATTCAATAAACAGTGCTGGGATAACTGGCTAGCCATATGCAGAAGAATGAAACTGAACCACTACCCTTCCCCATATACCAAAATTAACTCAAGATAGATTAAAGATTTAAATGTAAGACCTCAAACTATACAAATCCTAGGAAACACCATTCTATACATCGACCTTGGGAAATAATTTATGACTAAGTTCTCAAAAGCAGTTGCAACAAAAACAAAAATTGACAATTATTACTAGTAATAATACTCCTCACAGTACCTAGGTGATGTGATCATCCATACTACAAACCTCAGTATCAATTAGTATACCCAGGTAACAAACCTGTGTATGTAACTCCTGAACCTAAAAGTTAAAATTTATTTTAAATAAAAAATTAATAATAATAATACCTAATTAGTAATATCTCACATTCCTGAATGGAGAGGAGGATCATAATAATGGATACCATTTATCTAATTGACTGTTTGGAGTCATCAAGGATGTTAGACCTGCATATCATATATGAACAATGCTGAGTCACTTGAGACACAGGAAATATCCCATTTCTTTCTTTCATTTAATCAAATGAAAACCAGCTTCAACCTCTCATTTTCCAAGGTTAGGATGAATTCTAGCATCATTCTCTTGGAGTGCTTCCCCCTCGTGGGAGTTTGTGAGAAGCTCAGGGTTTATAAAGTCTGGGTAGTGGGAAAAGGCTGTGGTCTCCAGTCCACGATGGCTGCAGCTACCAGAACTGCTTGCCCAGGCTTGCAAGGTCCAGAGGGAGATAGAGCCTGCTTTGGGGGACATTCTCATGCTCTAGTGAAGATGGCTAGGTAGACCTTTGCTGTGGTATCAGAGGCACAGGGTTCAGTGTTTAGCCGTCCTCATCTGATCTTTGCCACTACTGGTAAGCTTTGTCCCAGCAGGTCTGATTTTCCTCATTCCCTGGAGCCCTATATATCCCTTGTGCCCTCACAGTCTTAGGGAATCCAGCCTCCACCCCTGGGCTGGACCACTCTCCTCTTTAAAAGTATCAGCCTTCCTCTGCACCTTTTAGACAATCCATCTTGATTGGCTCAATCAGCTTGCCATGAACCTCAAATTCAAGCAGAGGATGTAAATGAGTTAAACCGAGGCATGGGGAACTGCAAAGACCTAGAGAAGCTGTGTGATTCCACCCCCTATGGTTGTCACATGTGAGAAGAATGCAGGCCCAGTGTTCAAGATAATAGATTGCCAGATTTTCAAGAGATGCCAGAAACCCAAACTGTTACGCAAAATCTCCTGACTTGTCAATGTTAGCAGCTAATTCATTGTTTTTTGTTTTTAAGACACATGATACAAGCCCAAACAAAACACACAGCAAGCCAGATGTGGACCCAAGCCTGAGAGTTTGTTTTAGCTACCCAGATATTCAAAAACAAAATTTATTTGAAGTGGCCTCCCAGGGCTACTGGCAACCTCTCTATTTTTCTGTGAAACATAAAAACCCAACTTCCCTTGCAAAGCAAGGGGACCTGGGGCTCAGAAGACAAAGGCTTGGCTGCACTTCTGATGAAGGGAAAGCGAGGAAATCACATTTGTCACAGTTTCAGTCTTTCTGTGCAGTATAGGGCAGAAGAGAGAAAAGAAAGAGAAGGAAGGAAGGGAGGGAGAGAGAAAGGGAGGGAGGAAAAAGAAAGAAGACTTAGCATCAGCTAATTTTTTAATAACTCATTCTGCATTGACTCATTAAATCTTCATGCAAGGAGGAAATGCATAGATGGAAGAAGGACATGACCAACCTTCTTGCCAAGCTAAATGATTTCCTTGACAGTTTGGGGAGATGCTCCTCTGCCCAGCAGAGGGATCGGATACTTAGATGCAGCTATAACACCCTGTCCACTCTCAGCCTGGAGAAGATTCAGGATCAGGCTTGCCAGGGACAAGTGTCCCACAGGGTACATGTGAGAGCCAGGAAGAAAGTGGGGGCTTCAAGAATGTGGCCCCCATGGGCTTTGCATGGGTCTGAGGAAGGGCCAGACCATGAACACCAACATATATGGTGGCTTGGCCTAAAAGAGTGTTTAACTCTTGGACTGCAATCTGCTGATTTTTAAATTTGTTATCACCATTCTACTTACTTCCAAAGGAATCTGAGGCAATTCAGATATAGATTAAATAGAAGAGAAAGCAGGAGCACCAAAAAGGAGCCCAAAAGAGATCTCTGTCACTTGAGAGGAGCTAATTTTTGAGGCTGGGCCCCAAATCTGACTGTAAGCTTTCTGATAGCCAAGCCAAAGAGGAACCCTTGCAGCACACGGTTTGTGTTTTCTGACAACTAGAGAATCCACACTCACCTATAATGGCAAATTCTTAGTGGGAGCTAATTGCAAAGAGGGATTTATTGTGTGAGGAGTGTTTTCTATACTTCCTATCTCAGTCTGGCTCTGCCAAGAAACAGATACCAATTTCAAGGATTTATTTGGTGATACACTTGTGTGATAGAAATGGAGAGGGACCTGGGGAAGCAGCTGTCAGACCCTGGTGCAAATTTGACTCCAAATGAAGGAGAAAAGGAAGGTCAGTGGAAATGCCTTGGACTGATGAGAGTCCAAGAAGAGCTCAGCAGGGCAATTGGAGAAGCTTGAGTGTCTCTTGGGGAGGGACCTGCTTTAGAACCCCTGCTGTACTCTGTATTGGCTGGGAAGTATGGCTCAAGAGAAAGTGACGGATTTCACAGCTGTCTTAGTCTGTTTGCATTGCTATAATATAAAAGAATACCTGCCAGGTGCAGTGGCTCACACCTGTAATCCCAGCACTTTGGGGGGCTGAGGCAGGCAGATCACAAGGTCAGAAGTTTGGGACCAGCCTGGTCAACATAGTGAAACCCCACATCTACTAAAAATACAAAAAAAAAAAATTAGTTAGGCGTGGCAGCAGGCGCCTGTAGTCCCAGCTACTTTGGAGGCTGAGGCAGGAGAATCATTTGAACCCAGAGGCAGAGGTTGCAATGAGCAGAGACCATGCCATTACACTCTAGCCTGGGTGATAAAATGAGAGTCTGTCTCAAAAGAAAAAAAAAACCCGCAGCTGGGTAATTTAGAAAGAAAAGAGGGCCGGGCGTGGTGGCTCATGCCTGTAATCCCAGCACTTTGGGAGGCCGAGGCGGGTGGATCACGAGGTCAAGAGATCGAGACCATCCTGGTCAACATGGTGAAACTCCATCTCTACTCAAAATACAAAAAATTAGCTGGGCATGGTGGCACATGCCTGTAATCCCACCTACTCAGGAGGCTAAGGCAGGAGAATTGCCTGAACCCAGGAGGCGGAGGTTGCGGTGAGCCGAGATCACGCCATTGCACTCCAGCCTGGCTAACAAGAGCGAAACTCCGTCTCAATTAAAAAAAAAAAAAAAGAAATAAAAGAGGTTATTTGGCTTGCTGTTCTGTACAAGAAGCAGGGTTCCAGCCTCTGCTTCTGATAAGGGGCTCAGGAAGCTTCCACTCCTGGTGGAAGGGGAGCAAGGTGGGCAGATCACATGCTGAGAGAGGAAGCAAGGGGAGGGGGAAGGTGCCAGGCTCTTTTTAACAACCAGTTCTCAGGGAAACGAATAGAACAAGAATTCACTACTGCGAGGATAGCATTCATGAGGCATCCACCTCCATAACCCAAACACTTCCCATTAGGCCCCACCTCCAACACTGGGGACCAAATTTCAACATGAGATTTGGAGGATCAAATATCCAAACCACAGCAACAGCACAGTGGCTGCAGACCTGGGTCCATCACAGCGGGAGATCAGCAAGGTACATTCTCACAGTTACCACAATTCCCAAATGTCAGGTGCTTATTCTTGTACCACTTTTCTGGTTTTTTTTTTTTCCATGGTAAAGAAAAATTTATTCCGACACTTACTAAAATGGTAAGGAAGACTTATCCAAGACTATTGCCGTAGGAAAGAGAGAGTAGTCTCAACTTGGAATAAGGAAAAGCCAGTTGGTGATTTGGGGCCCATGGGCAGAGTGAGGGGATCAGTGGATGGAAAATTCCTAAGAGGAGACATCAAGGGTCGGGATATTCTTGCTAAACTGAGCTAACAGGATTCTTGCTAGAGGAGGGTCAAGTTCTTTTTTGTTTTGTTTTGTTTTTGAGATGGAGTCTCATTCTGTTGCCAGGCTAGAGTGCTGTGGCTTGATCTCGACTCACTGCCACCTCCACCTCACAGGTTCAAGTGATTCTCCTGCCTCAGTATCCCAAGTAGCCGGGACTACAGGTGCCTGCCACCACGTCCAGCTAATTTTTGTATTTTTAGTAGAGATGGGGTTTCACCATGTTGGCCAGGATGGTCTCCATCTCTTGACCTCATGATCCACCCACCTCGGCCTCCCAAAGTGCTGGGATTACAGGCATGAGCCACCATGCCAGGCTGATGTGGGTCAAATTCTTTTATATCAAAGGTGAGGGATGAAGGGCTTCAGCAGATATCAATGGTGATGGATTCCAACCTAAACTCATCTGGCAGGATTCTTGCTAAAACTGGGATGGGCAGGCCAAAGACAGGACAGGAGCCAAGGTTGAGGTCTAATCAAGAAGAAGGCTAAGAGGAGCCTGAGGAAGGTCTGGTCAAGGAGAGAGTCTTTGTTACCACTTGTCCTGGTATGTAACTGATACATTCCTTTAAGTGGACTTTAAGATTTTAGATTTATACTTGTGTGGGAGACTACCAGAAAAGACAGGGTTCTGTAGGATTCGGAAAATAAATAAATAAATAAAATAAGTTTTAGCTTCTTGCATGGATTGAGGAACTATTAAAAATAATGGCAAAAACTGCAATGACTTTTGCACCAACCTAATAGTTTATATATATATGTATGTATTTTCTAACATGCATTAAAATAAATGCATAACTCTTCAGATTCTAAGGTGTCTGTAAACCACCTAAAATTGTCCTGCACAGCACCAATGGTACACACACTGCACTTGGGGAAATGCTGGTTTTACAAAGAATACAGAAACGTGGAAGGAAAGGCTATATTCCAGCCCTGGCTGCAGACTCTAAGTCGATTACTTCAGGCACCTCTTGAGGCTCAGAGAAGTGGCTAAAGACATTCTCGGGAGGAATGGAGGTGGGACCAGGGTGAGGCTCAGTGGATTGAGTTTCCTCCCACCCCTACCACTGCCCAGATGTGGAGCTGGACCTCCAGAGGAGCGTGCAGGCTGTGCTCCGTGAGCTAAGCACCCAGGCCCCTGCCCTGCAGAGCAACCAAGGTAAGAGCTAGCTAGTGGCAGCAGCTGCTCCCCTTGACCTCCACCCCACCCCAGCCAGCTCCACACATACAACCAGGAAAGGGCCCCAGCCTGGAGCTCATGGGGCAAGGGTCTTCTAGCATAACCTCTTTCCTGCTGGAAATACCAAGAGCCTAAAGGACTGAGAAGACGTCTTTGCTCCCTAGTTCAGCCCTCCCGGCAACTGCCACAGAGCACAGAGGATCTGCCACCCTCTTTCACCCCTTTTTGTTTGTTTTAGAAATGGAGTCTCATTCGGTCACCCAGGCTGGAGTGTAGTGGCGCAAACTTGGCTCACCGCAGACTCTGCCTCCCGGGTCCAAGTGATTCTCCTGCCTCAGCCTCCTGAGTAGCTGGGATTACAGGTGTGTGCCACCACACCCAGCTAATTTTTGTGTTTTTAGTAGAGACTGTGCTTCGCCATGTTTGCCAGGCTGGTCTTGAACTCCTGACTTCAAGTGATCTAGCTGCCTCTGCCTCCCAAAGTGCTGGGATTACAGGCACAAGCCACCACGCCCCACCTGCCACCCTCTTTCTTAACCACCTTTCTTAGGTCCACTTCCAAACCTAATTCCTCTTGGCACTCCAGGCCTGCAGGACTTCCAGAATGTGGCTGGGGACACACCTGCAAGCACTGCTGCTCTGTGCCACATGACATCTTGCATGTCACCTGCCCCCACTTGCATCCCACCTGCCCTCATTTCTTCCCTGGAAGCTCACTGTCCAACAAGGGCTGCAGATCAGAACTCCCCCCATGGAAGGAGCCCATGTAGGCACACCTGGATCAAGTAGTGGTGGTGGAGTCAGACCTGCAGCTGGTCAGAGCTGCAGCTGAGGCTCTAGGGCTCAGGGTCCTACTCAGAGGGGTCTCCTCTAAGAGCCCCCTGCCCACCTGGCCATGCTGGGCTCCCCTTTCTCCTGGCCCAGGCATGTGGAGGTGGTCCCTGCACAAGAAGGTCGAGCGAGATCCTAGTAAGAGCCCTGCACTGGTCCGCATTCTGCTCAGAGAACTGGAGAAGGTGAGTTCCTGGACCTCTGGGAGAAAAACAGAGATGAAAGGAAGAGAGGGGCCAGTTGGGCAGGGACTCAGTCCTGGCAGCTCTGTGTCTCCCAAGCTTTGGTCGCCTGCATGATTTTTACCATATGTGTCTCCCTCCTGTACTTTTACATAAGCAATATTTTCTTTACATCGATTCCCACTGTTTTACTTGAATAAACATCTTTCAAAAAGAAGCACCAAAACACAACAACAAAAGGAAAACCTATATCACTTGTCAGAAACAAAAGGTACCTATAAACATAAATATATGACTATTGACATGTCTCAAAATTATCCTGGGACCACATAGATTATCCTCCACACTACCCAATGTTCTGCTTGCGACTGTTTGGGAAACACTGCGCTCCAAGCTGGGGCTTGTTTATTGCTTTGCTGCAGCTCCTTCCCTGATGGAATTTGGCCCCTCCCCTGCAGAGCTCTCTGAGGCCCCTCATGCTCCCATACCTGCCTTCCCCTCCCTCCTCTCTATCCAGAGCAGACAATGGCCCTTTGCTCTCCTCCTGGCTACCTTTCACCCCATCTCCTGCCCACCCCCCAGCCTAGACTACCTCCTGCTAGGAGTGGGGAGTCCCCCAGCCCAATACCTGTCATGTGATCTCCTGTTTTCCAGGCAGAAAGTGAGGACCTCCGGCATGTCATCATTCCCTTGCTGCACACTGTAATGTACGTGCTTACCAAGGTGAGCTGGGGGCTGAGGTCAAGGTGGTAGTGGTGACCTGCATGTGGCTGAGCCGGACACTGTCCTTTCTCCTTAGAGGGCAGTCAGTCTCTGCCAGGATGAGCCTAGAAAATCCCTTGGACTGCCTGCCCTAAACTGGCTTCTAAGCACTAGCCGCCCCCTTTCCCTCCTATGTGGAGAGATAACTTTGAAGAGACAGTGGCCTTGAATGGCAGGATGAGGTCTTTGGGCTTGCTCATGTGTGCAGTGCAACAGGAGACATTACTGATCCCTACATAGAGAAGAGACATGATACAGACGTGGTTACTGTCTCAGGAAAAGTCACTGGGAGCTGGGTATTGTTGCAGGGGTGGGAGTGGTGGTGAAGGAAGGCAGGAAGGGCAAGTCTGGGGTTGCTGGAGAGTCCATGGTCAAGATGTGGCTTGGCTCCGGCAGAGGCAGAGGGCACACTGAGGTGGGGAGGGCAGACTCTAGGGTACTGCAGAGCATCTCAGGCCTGTGGGATGTAAGGATGAGCAAAGGAGGCTGAAGAAGTGCCTCCAAGGTTTTGAGCCTGGAGGACCACAGTAATATGCTTCTCTGATGGAGCAGAAAGGTGGCGAGGGTGGTTGGAGTTGATTTGCTTGCAGAACTTGCTGCAATGAATTTTTATCTTAGTAAGTTGGAGCGGGGAGAAAAAGGGATGTCTTACAGGTACTGAGGAAGAGGCTGGAAGGTGTGGGTTTGGGAGAGAGTGTGAGCCCAGGTCTGGCTGTCAGGTCTGACCTTCTACCCATTCTTCTAAGCCCCTCCCCAGAAACTCCCACAGGACCCTTCACCTCTCCCTCCTTCCCCACTCTCATTCAGGCCACAGGAATCACAGAGGAGCTCTACCAGAGAACCTATGCCTTTTGCACAAGATTGCTGACCCTGCCCACCCCCTACTGTACAGTTGCCTTGGACTGTGCAACAAGACTGAAAACGGAGACGGCCGTCCCAGGTAAGAGCCACTGTGCATCTTTATCTCCCACGCTACACCTCCAACACTGCCCAAGGTCTTATCTTTTTCTCCAGGATACCAGGGAGCTCAAAAGCCTCCACACTTTCTGTAAGAAGGTGGAGAATGGGAATCAGAGACTTGGGGGCTGGTTGACCAAAGTGATCTGGTTTGCAGGGACACTGTACCAAAGGATGGTTATTGCCGAACAGAACTTGATGAATGAACCATATCCCTACCAAGAGAGGTGAGTGGCCCCAGAAAAACTACTACCTTCAGCCTCCTAAAATTCCATGGCTTTAGTGACTCCTCTCTGGCAGGAGGACAAAGGAGGAGGCTGGATTAAGCAGACCTCCCCAGCCATAACATTTGTCCAGCAGTGGAGTGCGTTTGCAATTCAAGGTTGGCGTGCCATATTGTATTCTGGATACCACTGACAGCAGGATAGGTCTTTCTTCTCAGGTTGGATTCGAAGCTACCCTGCTCACATGCAGAACATGGACATGGCCTTGTGGCCACTCTGGAGCTCTGATCCACCTCCATCCTGCCCTTGGCCATGATCCAGCACCCTTCCAGCCAGGCGGCTGGAGGAGACTCCAGAATAGCCAGAGCGGAGGGGCTCAGGTGCAACTGCACAATGAAGCCTGAGGGCTTCCATGGGGGATGCCCAGCCCCTTAGACAAGACTGAGGAAGTGTCCCCTGCTCCTGTTGGGGAGAGGGGTGATGAAATTGGGAGTGGTACCTCCCTTTTCTGCAGGCACCTCCACTAACTTGGCTCTGAAAGGCACAGCTTGAGCTTTGGGTGTGAGGTGCTGTGTTCATGAAGGATGCGTGGAAGCCCAGGGCACCCAGAGGTCTTAGCATGGGAGAGGTGGGGAGACATCATGGAAGAGGAGGAGGGAGTAGGGGAGGTCAGTTCTCTGGTGTGATAAGGGTGATGAGAGAAGGCGGGATTCCCTCAGGGTTCAGAGCTCCAGTTCTGACAGGAAGGATTTAGGGTCCCTCCGAGAAGGTGACCTGGTCACTGGGCCAGGATGCTGAGAGAGGGAGCAGAATTGAGGCTAGAACTTTCCTAGACACGGGACTAGGCCTGCTTTCCTCTGTGGACAGTGGATTAGAGCTGCCCCTCAAGAAGGGCTGCGCACGCTCTTATTTGTCACAGTCCTCACCACTCCCTATTGTCATCCCCTCTAGAGACTTCTGAATTGAAGACTCCTCTTTTAAGCAGAATTAAATTACTTGGGGGTGCTGCACAGCTCTGAGCGTGCCCATTTGGTGGCCCCTGTCCCATTAGTTACTATCAATCCCACCCCTCCCCTCTGCCTCTGCCCTCAGAGTGTTCGTCTTTGTGGATCCTGAGCTGGTGTCTGCCGCTGTGTGCAGCGCTCTGCTACTGGAGATCGAGGCAGCCCAGGTGCAACAGACGCCGGAGGCCTGCATGCGCCACGTGGTCTCCCATGCCCTGCAGGCGGCTCTGGGGGAGGCCTGCCATGCAGGCGCTCTGCACAGGAAGCTGCAGGTAATGGCCCTGCCTGTAGCCCCTTGTCAGGTCCAGCCCTGGTGCCTGCATACGCATACCAGTCACTCACCTTGCTCTTCCTCCTTCTTCTGTTTCACATCACATTTTTCCCCAAATCAAAAATGAATACATTTTGGCTGGGCACGGTGGCTCATAGCTGTAGAGGCTGACGCAGGAGAATCTTTGAACCCTGGAAGTAGAGGTTGCAGTAAGCCAAGATCGTGCCACTGCACTCCAGCCTGAGTGATAGAGCGAGACTACGTTTCAAAATTATAATAAGAAGAAGATATAAGGCAATGTCAGAATTCCTAGCAGCAGTGTGAATGAGTGTCTCAGTCCCAAAAGCAGGAATCTGTGTCACCACAACAGTGGCTACTACATCATCTCACTCGGATTCAAACCCAGTCACTGCAATGACCTATAAGAGCCTGGTGTGGTGGCCCATGCCTATAATCCCAGGTAGTTGAGAGGGCAAGGTAGGAGGATTGCTTGAGGCCAGGAGTTTGAGACCAGCCTGGGCAACATAGGAAAACCCCATTTCTACACATGATAATTTTTAAAAAGCCAGGTGTAGTGACATGTGTTTGTTGTCCCAGCTACTCAGAAGGCAAGAGGATCACTTGAGCCAAGTTCAAGGCTACAGTGAGCTTTGATTGCACTCTAGCCTGGGCAACAGAGAGACACCCCATCTCTAAAAACCAAAATCAACTGTCTCCAAGAACCTCATCTTGAGGGCCTTGACCTGTCCCCACCTCTCTTCATTTTCTCTCTGGCCTGTCTCCTAACTTTCCCTTTCATCTCCTCTGCTCCAGCTATACAAGCTCCTCATTTTTCTCCCAACATGCGCAGGCCTGACACTTGCACCCAGGACCTTTGCGCGTGCTGCTCCCTGTGCTTGGAATGTTCTCTCGGATACCTGCGTGGCTCACTCTTTTGCTTCCTTTAAGTCCTTCCTTAAAAGTCACTTTCTCAGGGAGGCTTCCCAGATGACAAAATCTAAATAATTTAGTCCCTCCCTCAAATTCCACATCCTCCCTCTCTGCTTTATTTTTATTGTTGTTATTTATTATACCATAAGTTTTTCTTATCTTGTTGATTGCCTGCTCTTTCTGTCATATACATGCTGTAATAGGAGCTCCCATTTTTTTTTTCTGAGATGGAGTCTCACTCTCTCACCCGGGCTGGAGTGCAATGGAGTGATCTCAGCTCACTGCATCCTCCACCTCCTGGGTTCAAGCGATTCTCCTGCCTCAACCTCCTGAGTAGCTGGGATTATAGGCACACCCCACCACACCTGGCTAATTTTTGTAGATCACCTCAGGTGATCTACCCTCCTTGGCCTCCCAAAGTGCTGGGATAACAGGCGTGAGCCACCATCCCTGGCCCCCAAATTTTGGTCCATTTTGTTTGCTGCTGTATCCCAGCTCCTAGAACAAACCTCGTGCAGTAAGCTATACTAAGTGCTAGAGATGCAGCTGTGAAAAAAACAGACAAAACTCTCTGCCTTCCTGAAGTTGAGTCTAGTGGTGATCCAAGTGCTGGGTGACACTTTCAGTCGGTGGGCGTCAGCGGCCACCTCTGCCCCTCTGGGTAACAGATGTTACAGACCTGCAGTCTCCCCATAATAGGGTATGAGAGGCAGAGGGGACCCCCCCACGTGCAGGCAGGCTTGGGGTCCTGGATGTGAGATCCAGAAGCCTTTGGGGGAAGCTCCTGCCGGTCCCCCAGGGAAAGCAGGGAGGTGTCACCTTGGGCTACCAGAGCCCTTCAGACTTGGCTTAGGAGCTAGGGTTTGTAGGCGCTGGGCCAAGACCCAGGCTCTGACACCCCTCCCCAACAGACCAGCTCCCCCGGCACCCTGGAGCACTATTTCCATGCCGTGGTGGCTGCCGTGGAACAGATGGCCAGCGAGGCCAGCCCAACCCGGGCAGGACACGTGGAGAGGCTGGAGGAGATTTACTGCTCGCTGCTGGGGCCAACAGCGGGGCACTGCTGCGGTAAGCGACGAGATGATGGGGGACCCTGCCAAGGGCCCCGCAGGGGTAGCTCACTGCACCAAAGGGGGCACCAGAGAGCAGCGCTGGACCTGCCTCTGTCTGTGTGCTTGGCCAACTCCTAAGAGCCTGAGGACTGGGGACAGCCCAGGGATTTGTCAGGACCAGGACTAAGAAGGCAGGTAATTAGGCTGGGTGCAGTGGCTCACGCCGGTAATCCCAACACTTTAGGAGGCTGAGGCAGGTGGATTACCTGAGGTCAGGAGTTCAAGACCAGCCTAACCAACATGGTGGTTCAAGACCAGCCTAACCCCGTCTCTACTAAAAATGAAAAAAAAAAATCAGCCGGGAGTGGTGGTGGGCACCTGTAATCTCAGCTACTTGGGAGGCTGAGGCAGGAGCATCACTTGAACCCAGGAGGCATAGGTTGCAGTGAGCCAAGATAGCACCTCTGTACTCTAGCCTGGGTGACAGAGTGAGACTCTGTCTCAAAAAAAAAAAAAAAAAATGCTGGTAATTTAGTCATGATAACAGCTGACACCCCCCAGAGCCCCTACTATATATACCCCAGCTGCTGTTCTAATCAGTTTATATATATTTAAATATATTGCCTATACTGTATTAAATCCATGAAACCTCAAAGGCAACTTATGAGATAGAAACGATTATTATCCCCACTTTACAGCAGATGAAACTGAGTTAGAAAGAGGTTAAATATCCTACCCAAGATCACCCAAGGCAGTAAGTAGCAAAGCCAGGCTGTCTAGTTCACCACTCTGCTGTAGTAATCAAAAGAGTTGATTGTACAAAGACCAGAGCATCTAAAAGAGCAGAGGAGTCAACATTGTTTATATCTGGTATCATAGATTTTTATTCCTCACACTTCCTATTTGCACATTTATAAGATATTGCCTTATTTTATGCAAGGCGTTATATAGGTAAGATAATGCCTACCCTGACACAAACCCCATGTAGATGCGGACATCTGAAATAGACTAGAGAAACATCCCAAATAGTTTCCTGGCTGTTGTAGGGTGGTTCTGATTTGGGTCCTGTTTCATGGTCACCCAAAATATCATGGAATGTGTCAGCCTGCATGTCCCAGATATGCATGGTCACTGGATGTGCACCTGTAATTGTGCCCAGGAGGTCAAGGCTGCAGTGAGCCATGATCACGCCACTGCATAAGGCATGGGGTTAAGGACTGGAATCCACTGGAAGAGGTTAGTGGGCCAGGACTTGGGTTTGAACTTGGCAGCCCAGGTTGGGTGGAGGCCACAGAAGTTGGATGAGGTGGGCAGGATAAAAACTGCCTAAAGACTCCATCTTCACAGTGTTCTACTCTTTCGCTTTAACATTCTACACTGCCTCCAGTCCCACATGGAAAAGGCTGCTCCCCGCTTCTCTAGAAGCTGGGACAAACTCTCGGGCAAATCTGCCTTTGCTCCTCTATGGCCCCTTGCTGACATTCACCAGTGATTGCCTGGATCAGGCAAGACCATCTGGGCTGCCCCCAAGCCACATCCAGGGATACCTGACTCCTGCCCGACCTGCCCTGTGCATTTTTGTTTTATTTTGTTTTGTTGTGAGATTGGATCTCACTCTGTCATCCAGGCTGGAGTGCAGTAGCTCGATAATGGCTCACTGCAGCCTTGACCTCCTGGGCTCAAGCAATCCTCCCACCTCAGCCTTCTGAATGGCTGGGACCACAGGCACGCGCCACCACACCTGGCTAAGCCCTGTGCATCTTAATGACCAGGCAGCACCCCCATCAATCCCCTGGCTGTAGGGGGCAGTACGGAGCAGTGGTTATAAGCACAGTGTTGTAAGTAAAAGCAGAGACTCTAGAGCTAAGCTGCTCAAGTCTTCACTCTGCTGTTTACTATGGACCTTGGGCCAGTTTTCAACCTCTTCATGTCCTGGCTCCTCCCTGTAAACTGAGGAGAAAAATGTCACCTGTCACCAGGGCCATTGGCAGGATCCAGAGAAATGATTACAGTGTGTGCCAGGTGAGTAGAACAAGGCCTGGCAGGCAGTAGTAGGTGCTCAGTGAACACCAGCTGTTCTCCCCTAAGAAGCTTGCAGCCTCATGAAGGAGGGGCCACAGCAACATAGAAATGAAATGGGAATACAGAGCCAAATCCTAAGACCACATGTGAGGTTCAGTGTGCAGACAAAGTTTACTCAGAGGGAATGACCACCATGGGTCTCTGGAGTGGTCAGAAAAGATTCTAGAAAGAGGAGCAGGAAGACAGGCTGGCTTCAGTCTCCTCCCTGGACTACCCAGGGTTCTTGCTGCCCCCAGACTTTGCTGATGAGGTCTCTTTAGCATCACCAACAGCAGCAAATGTTAATTGAGTGTCTAGTGCATACAAGATATTGGAAGCAGCCCTGAGAAGGGCTGAGGTCTTTTCTGCCTTGTCTGCATGTAGGCAGGGCATTTTAAGAACAGCGGGAGGCTGGTCATGGTGGCTCACACCTGTAATCCCAGCACTTTGGGAGGCTAAGGTGAGTGGATCACCTGAGGTGAGGAGTTTGAGACCAGCCTGGCCAACATAGCAAAACCCGGTCTCTACTAAAAAATACAAAAATTAGCTGGGTTTGGTAGCAAGTGCCTGTAATACCAGCTATTCTGGAGGCTGAACCCTCTGCCTCCCAGGTTCAGGAGAATTGCTTGAACTCGGGAGGCGGAGGTTGCAGTGAGCTGAGATTGACCATTGCACTCCAGCCTGGGAGACAGAGCAAGACTCCGTTTCAAAAAAGAAGAAAAAAAGAAAACAATAGTGTGAAAGCCAGTCTGGTGGTTGCACAGGGCTGAAGCCGTGGCTAGCATAGGAGAATAGGTTAGAAAAGGCCTTGTGAGCTGGTTTCTAAAGACCCCTAAGGGCTGAGCTAGGTTTGTAGGAAACATAGCTGCTCAGCATTGTTGGACAGGGAGGGGACAGCTGCACTGTTGGGCCCTGGACAGGCAGGTGGTGGCAGAAATGGAAAGGCAGACCAGATGTGAAGGAGAGAGTCCCTGCCACCCTTCTAAGAACCTTCATAGGAGCTGGGCAGGGTAGGGAGGGCAGAGGAGGCTCCCACAACCCTCTCCTCCATGGCCTCCATAGCCTGCTCCTTTCTGCAGGTGATCCTGTCCAAGAGCGGCCACCAAGCATTCCCCTGCCCAGCCCCTCTATTACCTTCCACCTGTGGACTGGCGAGGAGCAGCTCTGTACGTGCCCATGCAGCTGGCTGGAAACAGTGGTATATGTCTGTGTCCATGTGTATATATGCATGCATGTGTGTGTGTCTGTGTCTCTGTGTGTGTATGTGTGTGTGCATGTGTATCCGCGTGTGTAATGTGTATTATCTGTGTGTTCATGTCTGTCTGTGTGTACATGTGTGTGTCTACGTGTCTGCAGATGTGTGTATGCATCTGTCTGTGTGTATGTGTGCGTGTGTCTATATGTGCATGTGTATCTGTGTGTGTGGGTGCACGTGTCTATGTTTGCATGTGTGTCTGTGTCTGTAGATGTGTGTATGTATCTGTGTGGATGTGTGTCCTCATGTGTCTGTGTGTGTGTCTGTGTTTCGGTATGTGTATATCCTCTGAGGAAGACTGGCTGAAATCAGGAATGTAGCCTGCCAGCCTCACATGTCCTCACCGCCCTTATTCCCCCATCCCAGGGAAGGAACTGGTGCTCTTCCTCCACCCAAGATCCCAGCTGCGCCTCAGTACGGACTTGGAGGTCTTGGATCTGCAGGGCCTCCGGCCAGACCGGGAGTTGGCCCGGGTGTCCATGCTGTCCACTGACAGTGGCATCGAGCGGGACCTTCCCCTGGGGGCTGATGAGCTACCTGCACCCAGCAGCCCCGAGATGGAGCGAGCTGGGCTACAGCGCAAAGGAGGCATTAAGAAGCGTGTGTGGCCCCTGGACTTCTTGATGCCTGGCAGCTGGGATGGGCCCCCAGGGCTGCACCGGAGAACAGGCAGGCCTGGCGGGGATGGGGAAGTGCTACCCGGTGTCTCTCGGCTGCATACAGCCCGGGTACTTGTGCTGGGAGACGACAGAATGCTGGGGCGCCTGGCTCAGGCCTACCACAGACTCAGGTGGGACCCTGAGGTGAGGGTTGGGGAGTGGGCGCTGGTCAGGGCACAGGTGGGCCTTGCATGGGCTGGTGAAGGATCACAGGATGCCAAGAGAGGGTCAGGAGGCAGAGGCCAGGGTGGGATGGAGAAGGATGCTGTGCAGTGCTGTGCAGCCATCACAGAGCACCCAATCACTGCTTTATGTTCATTAGCTCTGTGAACCCTCACCAGCCTTCGAGGGAGACATTACTGCACCCATTTTATAGATGAGAAAGCAGAGGCTCAGAAAGATGACACAGATTGCCTAAGGTCAAGAGATAACACATAGCAGAGCCAAGTCTGTTAGAAGCCAAGCCCCGCCCTAACCTCCTCTGCTTTGCTGCTCGTTGCTAGGAAACAGGAGAACCAGAAGTTCTGCCTCACTCCCAGACTCAGCCTGCAGCTCTACTACATCCCAGTGCTGGCGCCTGAGGTGACTGGACTGCGGGGAGGCAGTGGTGGGGCAGAGGCAGGGCAGGCTGGGCAGGGACACACCTGCAGCCTCCCATCCCCCACATCCCCAGCTCAGGGACTAGAATCAGCATCCTTAGAATGTGGAGGCAGGAGAGGCCAGCCGGCCAACATGGTGAAACCCTGTCTCTATTAAAAATACACAAAATTAGCTGGGTGTGATGGTGGACACCTGTAATCCCAGCTACTCGGGAGGCTGAGGTAGGAGAATCGCTTGAACCTGGAAGGTGGAGGTTGCAGTGAGTTGATATCACACCACTGCACTCCAGCCTGAGCGACAAGAGCAGAACTCCGTGTAAAAAAAAAACAAAAAAGAAAAAAGAAGGTAGAGGTGGGAGAGGTGTCACCAGTCTTCTATTTAGGAGGCTGCAGATGGTGCTCTGGGGGCTGAATGTGCCCAGAGATTGGGTCTCTCTCTCGTTGCCAGCCTGCTTGCTGCTGCTATTTGTTTTGTTTTTGTATGTAACGGCATTAGTTGCAAACTTTTCAAACACAGGACTCTCTCTCTCTCCTTCTCTCCCCTCTCTCATATACACACATACACACACACCCCACACTTTCTGGTCCGACACAAAAGGAAATTTCAGGCAGTGAAGTCCATTAATCCAGTTGTGGGGACATAGGGCTTACTTCCTACTGCACATTGTCTCTCCCTGTTTAAGGTTGGTGATCATTTTTCAATGTCCCTGGTGAGTGGACCTCAGCAAAAGATACTTTACCTTCATCTGAGTTTATAAGACAGAACAACAATTCGTCTTCACATGCAGAAATTGAGGCCCCAAGAGATTAAATGACTTGGCCATATTCACACAGCCTAGGCTGATGGCAGCTGGAAGGCAGAGCTGGAAGAGAGAGCCTGACGTGTCTGCCCCATCTTCTTTCTCCCAGAAGCCTGCAGCATCCAAGCAGCCAGAGCTGGGAGAGCTGGCTGCGTTCCTGGGCCGCGTAGATCCATGGTACCAGAGCACCGTCAATACACTGTGCCCCGCCATCCACAAGCTGGCTGAGATGGTAGGGGAGGGTGAACTACCAGGGAGGGAAAGAGGGAGGGACATGGAGTCTGGGCAGAGGGGAGGATGGAAGAGCCCAGAGAGGGTGGGATGAAGGTGAGAGCAGGCTATCTTTTCGCTGCTGCACTTGACCTTTGACCTCAAGAGTCCAGTGAGATGAGGCAGGAAGGAAATGAGAGAGAGGGGCCCTAATCAGCTGGTGGCTTTGAACTGACTTGTAACACTTACCAGATGCTTACTCTGGATTGGACCACTGTGGAAAAGACTAAGTAAAATATTCTTTCATAAGTATGTTGGGCAATTATATTCCTTCCTATATGAGCTTCCTGTGATCCTTTTTATCATTTTTTAAATTTTACTTTAAATTCTGGGACACATGTGCAAAACGTGCAGGTTTGTTACCCAGGTATACATGTGCCATGGTGGTTTGCTGCACCTATCAACCAGTTATCTAGGTTTTAAGCCCTGCATGCATTAGGTATTTGTCCTAATGCTCTCCATCCCCTTACCCCTGATCCCCTGACAGGCCCCAGTGTGTGATGTTCCCCTCCTTGTGTCCATGTGTTCTCACTGTTCAACTCCTACTTATGAGTGAGAACACGCAACATTTGGTTTTCTGTTCCTGTGTTAGTTTGTGAGAATGATGGTTTCTGGCTTTGCCCATGTCCCTGCAAAGGACATGAACTTATTCTTTTTTATGGCTGCATGGTAGTTCATGGTGCATATGTACCACAATTTCTTTATCCAGTCTATCATTGATTGGCATTTGGGTTGGTCCCAAGTCTTCGCTATTATAAATAGTGCTGCAATAAACATACACATGCATGTGTCTTTATAGAAGAATGGATCCTTTTTCTACGATTGTAATAGCTGATGTTTCCGGAGCACTTACGCTGTATTGGGCACTGTTCTAAACACTTACACACAGGGCAGCTCCTTTAATTCCCACAGCAGCCCAGAGGCAGGTGCCCCTGTTGGTAGGTACTATTGTCATGATAGCCCCATTTTACAGATCAAGCAGCTGAAACACAAAGAGATTAGGTATCCTGCCTGAAGTTACAAAATGAGTGCTAGAGCGCCACTTGGAACCAGGCAGCTTGACTCCAGAGCACACTCTCCTAAACACAAACCCATACTGCCGCACTCCCTCTGTGGCTGGCGGTGGGGAGGGAACTCATCTTTTACCGATCTGAAAGGGCTTTTATATAGTAAGAGAATTTTACCTTTTCTGTCGTCAATATGTTACAGATTTTTTTCCCATGGTTGTAACTTGCCTATCCATTTTCTGACTTGCAGAAGTTTAACACTTGTATGCAGTCAGACATAGCACTTTCATTCTTTACAGTTTCTGCCTTTGGAGTGGTACTTTCAAAAGCTTAAATAGATATTTGCTGCTAATATACTCTAATACTTTCCACGTCTCAATTTTTACATTTAACTAATTGCCTATCTGCAGTTAATTTTAGTGTTTAATGTGAAGTATGTCACTTTATCTTTTCCAAATAGGTTTTGTCCACTTCTCACTAAATTTATTACTTATGTATGGTAGTGTTTCTTGCTATTGCGAATGGTACTGTTATCCCATTATATTTGGGTAGTACCTGCTGATAATATAAAAGGAAGCTGTTGATTTATACACATTTATTTAGTTTTAAAAACTATGTAAAAATGTAACATAAATTTACCACTTTTACATGTCTATTTTTAAACTTGCACTTTGAAAGTTATCAAAAGGCTAATTTGTACAGAATGCACTTTGAAAGTTAAAAAATAGACATGTAAAAGTGGTAAATTTATGTTATATTTTTACTGTAGTTTTCAAAACTAAAATAAATGTGTATAAATCAATGGCTTCCTTTTATATTAGCAGCAGATACTACCCAAGAGCTCTACATTTTGCTTTATCATTTGATTGATGGGGTTTATTCAAATAAGGTTATTTAGGAGTGCACATTTTCTGGATTATACCTGATCTGAAAATGTCTCTGCATACACACAAAAGACCATTTAGCTGGGTATTAAAATACTTTTTCCTTGAAACTTGGAGGATATTACAGTAGGAACATTTGATGCAGGCCCCATTGGTGCTCCTTTGCTGGTAGCTATTTTTCTCTGCCAAGACACTGTAAGATTCTGGTTTTCCCTTCTTGTAACTAACAATTTGAATGACCCTATGCTTACTCCAAAAGCAGTTTCCACATGAAGAGACCAGAAACATTGTGAACAATGACAGCATTATTAGAATATGTCATAGCTTCTCAGTATGACCCTTTTGAAAGGAACATATTTTAGCACACCAGATGTGAAAGTCAAAAGAGATCTCACAGGATCAGATATGAGTTCAATGAAATCAACTCTGAGCTTTCTTCCAACCCTGACATCATTATCACATTCTATGCAGAGATTCTGAAAACACAGTCACTATGCTTTATCATCATATGGGACTGGGAAAGGACTGGAAAACAAGACGCATAGTTTATTCCCAATAACACGCAAACCTTAATTAGCCTATTAATAGATGCAGAGACCGCCAGAGCTGAATGAGACATCAGATCATCTGCTCCAACCTCTCATTTTCCCTAGAAGGAAATTTAGGCCTCGAAGAGTTTGAATAACTTGCCCATGGCTGCCTGCCCCATGGCAAGTAGCCCATCCAAGCTCAGAACCCAGTCCTGGCCCTCTCATTAGGTTCACTCTCCAGCATCCTGTCTCCCTCAGTCACTTAGCACAGTGCCTCATACATAGCAGTGCTCAGTAGTCTCTGTAGAATTGAAATGAGTCAGATTCCCTAAGGAGGTGGGGCTCTGGAAAGGAATATTTTGATTGGGAGTGGAAATCGGGTGGTGGGAAAGGCTTCGAATCTGTTGAAAGACCCACTGGGTTAGTACATCCCAGAGATGTAGGGGCTTGGTGTTTCTTTCTGAAGAAAATGGCATCTCCCACAGTGGCCTGGGAGGAGATGGTGAAGACATTACCTGTCTCCCTCACAGCCTCCTTCCCTGGACACATCCCAGACTGTGGACCCCTTCATCCTAGATGTCCTCACCTACTATGTCCGCATGGGCACCCAACCCATTTATTTCCAGATCTACACAGTCAAGGTAAGTATCCCACTGGAGACTCCAAGGGTACTTGCCAGCCTGCAGGACCCCAGGACCCCACAGGTTAAATACCCAGGCTCTGGGGAAACACTGGTCACCAGGCCATAAATTATGAACATACCCAGACACTCTTGGTTGTTAACATTATCTTCATCTCTGAATGAATCAGGTCATTATTAACTTCAAGACCTCAAATCTAAGAAGTACCTCTTCTTTATGTGGAAGGGTTCTCCATGGTCCCAGATCCCTAGAAATCAGAGAGAGGGAGAGAGATTTGGAAATCACACCAGGAAATATCACCCTCCCTTCCTCTCTCCAGATCTTCTTCAGTGACCTGAGCCAAGATCCTGCTGAGGACATTTTCCTCATTGAGCTCAATGTGAAGATCCAAGATTCTAAATTCCCCAAAGGTAAACATCTGCTTCCCTTTTCCCAAAGGTCACAAAGGTTACCCCGACTCATCTTCTCCAAACTCTCATTCTCCCACCTCTCACCTGATGATGTCTGTACCCCCACAACCTCAGTGCTGCCCCTGCTCTGTTCCCTGCTTCTGCTGAATATGAGGGCTGCCCTTGATTCCCTCCAACGCCTCCCCAAGACTGAAAGGCAGCTTGGCTCCCTGAGGTGTTGCCTTTCCATCCAGGGAGATGGATGGATGGGTAAACCCAGCAGCTCAGCTCCTGTTCTCAGAGAGGTGGGAAGTCAGAGTGAGAGAGCTGGGAACCTCCACCCCAAGCCTCTTCTCATCTCCCTGCAGATGGCTTTTCACCCAAGAGGAGAGGTGTGGCTGAGGGCCCAGGGGCGGAGCTCTCCCTGCGTTACCAGAAGGTCAGTGTGCATGGGCATAGTTAGCAGGTGGCTAGGAGGTACAGCTAGAGAGAGCAGGCCTCAGGGACAAGCAGGGAAGCAGACAGAGCCAAAGGAGGCTTCTGCCCTTTTCTTGAAGCTGCCTGAAGAGTTCCCCAGCCTTCAGGGAGTTTTGCAGGGATAAGTGGGGTTAAGTTGGCCTTACATATAGACAAGGTGGTGATCTAATTTAAGGAACAAGGGGGCTGACCCCTTGCTAAAAAACATTTTCCTTGCTAGCTGACCAGATGCTTGAACTGATTTCACTAGAGATTTATTCTTTGGGATCTGGAAGGCTGAACATACTCTCTAGGGATAGGAGTGCTACAAGCCTTTATCTGCTAGCCCTTATGGGACTTCAGTGACATAGACAAAACAGGGCAGGGCACAGTGGCTCATGCCTGTAATCCCAGTGCTTTGGGAGGCTGAGATGAGAGGATCCCTTGAGGTCAGAAGTTGAAGACTGGGGTGGGCAACATAATGAAACCCCTGGCTCAAAAAACAATAATAATAACAAAAAGACTCTCATAGTAGAGGTGGCAAACAGGGTAGAGAGGCAAGACTGTGGATGTGGGGATGTGTGGGGAAGGGGTATGTCCTGAAGACCCCACCTGTTCCTCAATACCCCTCCCCCAGGCCTTGCTCAGCCACCGGCCCCGAGAGGTCACCGTTTCCCTGCGGGCCACTGGGCTGGTCCTGAAGGCCATTCCATCCAGCGACACAGAAGGTGAGGAACAGGGAATGCAGAGCAAAGAAAGAGAAGAGATGAGAAGGGCGATGCTGGGGAGAGGACATAGTGACAAGAAGGGGAAGCCCTCCCAGTCATGGAACTGGAGCTAGGTCCAGGGCTTGGTGACTGCCTTCAGGTTGCTTGCCATGGGGTCACCCAGCCTCTAGCATTGGCCTCTGGATGGAGCCTCAGCAGCCTGGTGAGACACAGCTGGAAGGTGGAAGGACTCCGGGGAGGAGTTGCAGTTGGCCTCCTGCCTCAGAATTGAGCCCACAGGGCTAATTGTATTCTGTTTGGAAATTGTGGACTTTGAATGTCATTCCAAAAAAAATGGAGACAATAGAAAATGCCAATTTATGTGCATATAGTAAATTATAAATATTAGCTCATATTATGAGCCCCCTGGTCTCCTGGAATAATGCAAAGGATGGCAATACGGGTCCCTAACATTGCAAACATGCACCAGGGGCCAGGCAGTGAAGCATGTGAACCCTAGGAGATAGATATTATTAGTCTCAGCAACTTTTTACTAGAGAGAAAACTGAAGGAAAGAGAATAACGCACCCAACATCACCTCTGTGAGGAAGACTCAAAACTGAAATTCAAACCCAGGTATCCTCATGCAAGAGTTTATGTTCCTTACCACTGCCCCCCAGAATTGCCAAATCTCAACAGGCTAGACTTAGGGGATGTTATCGGGTGATGCTTGGAAAAGATCATTTCAGAGCAAACAAGAAAGTTCACCCGGGCAGAATTATATCTTGTTCACCATCTATTGCCTTTGTCCATGACATACCCTGGCACATAGTAGATACTTGATCAACATTGTGTAATACATGAAATGCTATTTTACATTCAAACATTTATTTTAAAAATAAATGCACACATTTGGAATATTCCAGAAGAAATGTGGAATGAAAATACACATGAGCCAGGTTGGAAGGCTTATGAGGAAGCCAACTCTGATCCCTCCTCTCCTATGCAACTACGAGTATTTACTTCATCTCTGAAATCACTGTGGCTTGGCTAGCATTCCAATTATGACACCTTTCTGACAAAAATGCATTTGTGTTCATCACCACAATATTGATGAAGAACTTTCTTGTTTGCTCTGAAATGATCTTCTCCAGGCATCACCTGGTAACATCCCCTAAATCTAATCTGTTGAGATGTGGACATCGTAGTGTCACAATTTTCTTAGCAGCTGGCACAAAGAAGAAACTCAAGAAATTATATCACTTCCCCCCCCCCCCTTTTTTTTTTTGTGACGGAGTCTCGCTCTGTCACCCGGGCAGGAGTGCAGTGGTGCAATCTTGGCTCACTGCAACCTCTGCCTCCCAGGTCAAGCAATTCTCCTATCTTAGCTTCCTGAGTAGCAGGGATTACAGGTGTGTGCCACTATGCCTGGCTAATTTTTCTATTTTTAGTAGAGACAGAGTTTCACCATGTTGGTCAGGCTAGTCTCGAACTCCTGACCTTGTGATCCGCCCACATTGGCCTCCCAAAGTGCTGTGATTACAGGCATGAGTCACTGCGCCTGGCCATCACCTAATAAAATTGCCTCCAGGCAAGTTGAATTTGTGGATGACACATGAAACTCCATCACAGCAAGACACTCTACCCACAGCTCTTTAACACCATGAAGGAGACAGGTAACTGTGGCAGCAGCTCTTAACCTAGAGGTGGCTCAGGAGCAGGCGGTCAAGGGCGCGGGTCCAGAGCCAGATGGGCAGGGCTCACACCCCAGCTTTGCCGCTATCTGTGTGACCTTACGTGTGTGACTTGTATTTGCTCCACCTGTTTTTCCCCCATTTCTAAAATGGAGATAATAAATAGCTAATTTGTGTACATACAGTAAATGATAACGGTTAGCTCTTATTGTTCAAATTGTATTCCTTCTGTTTCTCTCACAGACTCTCCTCACCCCCCAGCCCTAGTCTAGACCCTATCAGAACTCATCTGATGATGCCAGCAGCCTCCATAGAGCACAGACTTCTACAAACCCTCTATAGTTGGCAGGGAGGGACTAAGCCTGGCAGCAGGCACATAGTAATGATTTTTGACACATTATACATTATTAAGCAACCCTGTCTCTACTAGAAATACACACAAAAAAATTAGGCAGGTGTGGTGGTGCACACCTGTAATCCCAGCCACTCGGGAGGCTGAGGCAGGAGAATCACTTGAACCTGGGAGGCGGAGTTTGCAGTGACCAAGATCATGCCACTGCACTCCGGCCTGGGTGACAGAGTGAGACTTTGTCTCAAAAATAATTAATTAATTAATTAATTAATTAAAAAAAAACAAAGAAAGTCAAAGAAACACTCAACCTGTTGGCACTAATGCCCTCCTCACCCACTTGGTGCCTCTGTCCTGTACAACCTCCCTGGCTAGGTGCTTCTTATATTCTTAGCATGCTCGAGAGCTACAGAAGTTCAAGAGAACTTCTAGAACTTTATTCCTTTTTAAAAGGGGTGCAGGAGGAAATAATGAAAGGGTAGTGGGTGGGATTTAGGTTGGCGATGGCTGGTGTCCTGAGGATACAGAAACTTGCAGATTCTTCAGGGAAGGAAGATGGATGATTGAGAAAGAGGTCCAACTTGGCTAGGACCAAGCAGATCTGGGAAGTGGGAGCCCAGGGAGGAGTGAGAGGGCCGGGGATATCAAGATGAGTTCATGGAGATCTTGAGACCTAGAATCTGAAACTCCTCTACTTTCCTTGAGGTCCATTTACAGCCGCCCCCCCCCAACCCCCGCCAACCAATCTTATTCAGTTTCAGGGTCTCCTCATTGCCCCCTGCCTGCTGTTTCTGTCACAGACCACACGTGTCTGAATGTCAGCGTGACAGAGGTCGTCAAGTCCTCCAACTTGGCGGGAAGGTCCTTCTCTGTAAGTACTGAGTAGACTTGGAAAGGGAGACAGCCAGCTGGGACAGTGGCAGGTGGCTGGGAGCCCAGAGGGGAGGGTATTCAGAGAAGGAACTGACTTCCCAGCCTTTCTGAGCCTTTGCTATTGGATTGGACCTTCTTGTTGGAAGGAATCTGCTTTTCAATCAGTCTGTTTGAAGTGCAGAGTGCCCACTGGTATAAGGAAAGCCCTTTAAGAGTCAAAGCCCTACTCTCCATCTGCTGACCATTTGAGGACCCAAGACATACCCAGATTACTGCAAAATGCACCTACGTTCTGTCATCGCAGGCGCCACACCACAGCCAGACTACCAAACAACAGCCCAACCTTTGACCAGATCAAACCAGCTCTTTCAATACCCTTGCCCTCTGCCCTTTTGCCTTTGCCCATATCAATACTTTTTTTTTCTTCTTGAGATGGAGTCTCACTCTGTCACCCAGGCTGGAGTGCAGTGGTGCAATCTCGGCTCACTGCAACCACCACCTCACAGGTTCAAGCGATTCTCCTGCCTCAGCCTCTCGAGTAGCTGTGATTATAGGCACACACCACCACACCTGGCTAATTTTTTTTAATTTTAGTAGTGACAGGATTTCGCCATGTTGACCAAGCTGGTCTCAAACTTCTGAACTCAGGTGGTCCACCTGCCTCAGCCTTCCAAAGCACTGGGATTACAGGTGGCAGCCACCATGCCTAGTCAGTACTTACTGATACAGACATAAAATTATCCATTTTCTCTCTACCCATGGCCTCTGGACTTCACCTCCCCTCAGCTTGGCTTTGGCACCCCATGATTGTGCCTGCACCACGTTCTCACTGTTGTCCTCCCCTCCATGCATCACCCATCAGGCTGACACTCTGATTTAGGTAAAGCCACCTACTTAGTCTGTAGGCCCAGGTGGCCAAATGCTTCTGGAATAATCCCTGCATCCCCATTGATCAGATCCGCAGCAAACTCATGACCTCCCCTTCACCCAGATCCTTGGGATCACTCAGCCCTTTCCTCACCCACCCCCTCCAGGCTCTTCTCTATCTGTTTGCAATTCTCTTTCCCCTAGCTTTGACCTCTTCCTCTCCACTGTTCCTTCTGCTTAGCCTATACCTACTCAGGTCTTTTCCACCGTAAAAGAAAAAAAAAAAGGGGGCAAAAAACCCCAACTCTCCCATGACCGAACTACCTCTCTAGCTACCCACTGCATCCCCTTCCTTCCCTTCTCAGTCAAGCTCCTTGAAAGATACATCTCGAAGAGTATCCAACTCCTTATCAATGACTCTTCTACCATGACCATCTGCTTACACAGGTCCCACTGAGGCAAAGTCACCTCCATGTTGCCAAAACCAGTGGTCACTTTTTGGCCCTTATATTTCTTTATTTTTTAAAATAATGCTTCGTTTTGTTTTTTGAGACAGAGTATCACTTTTTTGCCAAGCTGGAGTGCAGTGGCACGATTTTGGCTCACTGTAACCTCCAACTCCCTGGTTCAAGCAATTCTCCTGCCTCAGCCTCCTGAGTAGCTGGGATTATAGGCACATGCCACTACACCCAGTTAATTTTTTTTTTAGTAGAGATGGGGTTTCACCATGTTGGCCAGGATGGTCTCCATCTGCTGACCTTGTGATCTGCCCACCTCAGCCTCCCAAAGTGTTGGGATTATGGGCATGAGCCACCATGCCCAACCAAGACAATATTTTAACCTATAAACAAAAGTTTCATTATTTTGGAAAATACAGAAAAGCACAAAAAAGTACATTCACTAGTATTCCCAATCCCTGAAAAGGATGACTATTAACATTTTCAGGTGTAAACACCAAACCTTTTTTTCTAGATATTTTAAGACAATTGATAGCTACACTACATACTGGTCTGTACCTTGGTGTTTTTTACTCAAAAATATATTAAAACCTTGTAAATAGATCTTGATGGGACCTTGCTTTGGTCATTAAATATGTTTTGTGTCATTAAGTACATGTCAGTATTTATTATACGATAGTTGCATATACCTGTATAATTATGTAAATAAATTATAAGAAGACATTTAAGAAGTTCTCATTTTTCACCATTATAAGCATAATGTGAGGAATTTTGTTAGGGGTAAATATGTGCTAAAAATCAGGTTATGTCTTTTTAGAAAAATG